ATATATATGAACAGTAAAAAAAAGTTGTTATTAATAAACAAGAATACAGTTTGAAAGGGGAATGATTTGTAAAATATCCATAAAGAAAAAGAAATCTGCTTCCAGTTCTGTTTCATATGGCTGTTGAGAGATGTATCCATAGATCTCCTAATGTTGCTCTCAAAGTGCACCAGATTGATGCTTTTAGCTTCAACTTTTAAAAGAAAATCTTCCCGGGGGAGCATGCCCCCGGACCCCCCTAGAGGAGATTAGGCCCCCCCATCCACTTAAATCATGTTCACATGGATAGGAAACTAAATACATTTGCACACATCTTGTGTCCATATCTTTCTGTAGGATATCTGGATTAAGAGGTTGCTTTTTCTTTGCTCAGCATGAAAGAAAGGCCAAATGATTGGGCTGTGATTTTTGTGTTTTTAAGCAGAGGTCAATAATTTGTACGGCCCTCGGAGGATGTTGAAAATATTGAAATGGCCCTTGAGAGGAAAAAGGTTCCCCACCCCTGCTTTAAAGCGACACTGCGCCATTTTTAGCTTACATGCCAGTTACAGGTCATGGCGTCGCCCCCAGAAATGCTATTACTTCTCCGTCGCCAGGCGCTCATAATGGCTGTGCGTTTCACTAGATTAAACTCTGCCTCACTCCCTCTCACTTCTGCAACTTCCAGCGTTCCCAGCATGCCGAGCGGGGACGCCTCACCTCTTGACTGTCTGCCGCTCATGAATATTAACGTATGTAAATGACACACTCCTTACCGGCAGCCTATCGCCGCGCCGCAGGAGTCCGTAGGTGTCACTTTCATTAAGCACAGCGTTTGGGTAATTTCACCGTGGCAGAGGACACCGGGAATTACACGTACTGTACTTCTGCTAAAGTCCTATTAATATTACAAACCCACTCTGCAAAGGCAGTATGTTGGCTGGTGATAAGTTGAGGTTTTAAACAAGAATATTTCCAAGTTAATTCTGACCTTCGACAAACTCTCTTTTCCGTTTTGCACCATTTCACACTCTGTCTTTCTCTATCACACACCATGAGAACAAGCTGAATTTTAAATAGACTTTTAGAGGGGCTCAGGTGCTACCTCTGCCATGGAGATGGGTTAGATATATGAGGGTTGGGGAATTAAGACTTTCTCAGAGCACACAAAAGCCTTAAGGAGAAAATAAAAGGCTACAGAAATACATATGGATAACGCTATGCCTGTTCAAACCACAGGTGTATATTCTGCATCAAATTCCTCCACAAGGAAAAGTTTCAAACTCTGTCAACTTAACTCAGCCTCAGAAAGTACTTTTGCTATAGAGCACTAAAATCAGAACATTAACTTCCAGTCAATTTACCTAAACCTGTATTTACTTTCAGCTCAGTTTAATGAAAGCAATTGACTTGAAAGTCTGAATATAAACCATGGCTTAAGGCTATTCTAAGTTCCATTTTATTTATAGGTCTTTCATCAAATGATTGCCCTTTTATTTTTTGTAGTAATTGTAATTGTAGACAGGTACACATTAAGGCTGAAAATACAGTTTGCAGGTTATTCTGCTTATCACCTGCTTCTTGTGTGCCTGTAGCATATTGAGAGTAAAGTTGGAAAGAAGAAGGAAACAAGTATTTAAAGGATATAGAGAGACATGTTCAGAAACACAAATGGTTTACAACTGTACACACAGTATAAGAGCGTGTCCTGTCTGATGATAGTTATATTTCTCTCTCATCTCAAGTTCCATGAATAAAAAAATGAAAAGACCTTTCACTCTTTCTCTGTATATCTCGCTATTCTCCCCTGCCACTCCCTCCCTCTGGGACTCCCATGATGCAGCGTTCATCTTCTCATCCCCGCGTCTCCTCCTCCACCGTACCATTTGCCCAGCCCATCGCCGCACAACTCCGCCACTCCATGCTTTGCTCTCCCACTGGGACTCCCTTTAACAAGCGCCTGCACACCTGCCGGCGGAAAAAGAGTGTTCGGGGGGTGGGGGAGTAGGAGGTAGAAGAGGGCGAGGGTGGGGAGGGGGTCACACGAGAGCACACAAACACCCGTGTCTAGCCTGTTTCCCCTGACACGTCTGAAAGGAGAGCGACTGAGCGCTGCCGTGACCCCCGTGACACGCCACCTTAAACACCCACCGCCGTAGCATTTAGAGCCTCCCTCGCTGCAGCGCACCAACACACACACACACACACACACACACACACACACACACACACACACACACACACACACACACACACACACACACACACACACACACTGCCTTTTTGCTTCCAACAGAATCACTTTAGCCAGCAAGTGAAAAAAAACGTGTTTGCGTGTGCAAGGAAGGCATTTTTTTTTTGGGATTATATAGTCAGTGTGAATAAACTAATACAAATGTTTTTGACGACCCAGGGGGGCGAAGGTTCCTCACTGACTGACTGACTGACACACATTTTTCGAGAGCATATTCAGCTTCAAGTCAAAATACACTTTTTACCTTTTTAATATTTTAATCAGAGAATGCTTTCTCTTCAACTGTCAAAAAAATATAGAAATTCTAGAATAGGCTACAATAAAACATACATTTATAAACAGAACATATATTATTTGTCATCTTTTGATGAGCAAAAATATTTGTTATAATGTATAGATGAGATCAGTTTTTTCCATCATTTTCAACTTACACCACTTTACCGTGAATTTTGTTGACAGGTGTGTAGGAATAAACGTATCATTAAATGCAACTTATACAACTTAAATCATTAGTTTTGAAATAGTGACAAACCAAGGCAAACATTAAGGGCCTGAGCTTATTACGCCTACATAAATTCAATCAACAGTGTCTAGAAATATGTTTAAAATAATTGTAATAATTGACGGTTGTTGATGCCTTTGTCTTTTATTTAAACAGTATCATATATGTAATGCTGTGCACGTAAACAGGAACTTACAAGCATATATTTAGTTTGATGGAAACGCATCACACAGACAATAAGCTGGTCTGTTTTTATTTGTTAATAAACAGATTTAGGTGTTTTTCCCCCTCTTTATGAGTGGTTTCGAGGACACTTTTGAATTCCGGATATCTAACCGCGTGTCTCCGGCAGGGCTGTGTTTACCGTGGATCTGTACCTGCGGACGGAGCGGGGACTGATTGTCGGCGCGGAAACACAGGAAACACAGCATGACTGGATCCAGGCGCTAACAAAGGTGACACACTTTGCATACAGCTCACACACACACACACACACACACACACACACACACACACACACACACACACACACACACACACACACATACACATACACATACACACACACACACACACACTGTGTGAATGTGCTGCAGAATAACATTACACATCCATTTCACTCTTACTTTGCATTATTGTCCTCAGTGAGCCCCTGTGCTTCTTTCAATAAGACAAGCGGTCTTACTACCCCCCCCCCACCCCGACATGCGTACAGGAAGTTCATAACAAAACCATACATAAATATGCCCCCTATTCCTTTGTATCTCTGTAAAACCAGGCAACGCAGTCATAGATAGTGGGTGGTATTGCCACATTAGTCCATATGTCTCTCCATCTGTGTAAAGGCCTTTCTCACCTCCGTATTTCAATTTGAATCACACAACAACGGCCAGACTGAGCAGGAGATATGGAAAAAATAATTCAACCAGGGAGCAGAAACTAAGCATAGGTTTATTTTGACAAGCCTGCATATGTTTTGCATTTTTCAGTTTCGAGGTGATACGCCACAGTGAAAAGATCCAGAAAAAGTTCCTAATTTGTTCTCTGTTTGTGACTGGCAGTGCTTCGTCCCGTCTAAAGTGGAAGGGCTGGTTCAGAGGGAGGGCGAGCTGATTGGCAGACTGCACTACAAAGAAGGCCACGACCTGTACCACTGGAGGGTGGGCTGGTTCGTCCTGGAGGGCTCTGCGCTGCACTTCAGCTCGGGAGAAGAAGAAGAAAAGGAGGAAATGCTGCAACTCAAACAGCTTCAGGAGCTCAGTAAGTCATTTGACTATTTCTCATAACAAGTACTTTTATTTAGTAATGCTTTAAATACATTGAGCAGACAAAGGGTAACGGTACGTCCACACAGCAGCTTTGAAAAAATCTTGAAAATCTTGGAGCTGGGCGTGTCTGAGAGCTTGGGGATTTTTTGCGAGCAACGCGACCAACAACTGATCACATGAATATCCCGCCCCCGACATACAAAGCAAAAAACCCCGTGGATTTATATATTATATATATATATATAAACTCCCCAAACAGTCGAAAACCTACCAGTTTCACACACTGTCTCTGCCACCTCCCTCCATGCCTGGTTTCTCCGGTTTGAATCCCGGTAAATAGTTCTGGTCGTAAAGAACCGGGTAATTTGCTACCGTAATTTCTCGTTTGGAATATGAGGAAATGAACTGCGGTCTGGTTCTCCCAGCTTACACGCGGTTTGATTGGCTAGCGCTTGTACTGTCAGATTTGCATAAACGGGATTTGATTGGCTGACGCTTCCAGCTCAGCTTCAAAAGTCGAACATTGCTCAACTTTTGAATCCTGAAAATCCTGTAAATCCTGTAAATCTTCGCTTCGCTTCCACACAATGCAGTTTGGCGAAAAGCGAGGCAAAGTGACGTCACCCCATTCAAAGTCAATGGGCAGAGAAGCGTTGGAAGATGTTTTTAAAGCTGCTGTGTGGACGTACCGTAACAGTAGGATAAGTTGAGTAGTAGAGTAACATATAGCACAAGTTAATAAATAAGAACAAATAAGCACACCTCCATGTTAAAAATACAAAATAATGAATGATAATTTTTCATTTAATTTGCTTTTTTTTCATATTTCGTATTAAAGTAATTAAAAAGTTATTTTAATATTGTAATACTTAGCTTAGGTTAATGACTACATTTTATTTATACGATTGTTTTCATTCCAAATCATACTGCCAACCCTGCAGTAGTGTATATAAGAACATGTTGTATTAGAATGAGGTCCTTAAAGGTCAATTTAACAACATTTGCCGCCACACATCGGCAAAAATAGGTTTCTGATCTCCCTGACCTTTCACAGATTGCTCTATGAAAACATGACTACGCTTCTGTTCACCACAATAAATATCCGGAATAATACCAGTATGATGGTCGCCCACTCACATTAATTTTCGCCAATATCTCCACTGGCAAACAGCAGCTATTTAAAGCATAGTCAGTGTAGGGAAGCTGCCAGTCACGGGGGGGGAAGGCTCAAAAGTTCACACATACTTTGGCAGATTGATCGATGCGCCGGCGTGATGTGCGAACAGAAGGAGGGGAGAATCAATGTATCCTTTTAATCCATTTACGGCTCGACGTGGATCAAATCGTGCAAAGTGCCGCCCCGTATCCTCACCTTGGGCGGGATAAAGAACTGCAGCGGTGCTCATTTTGATTCCTGCTTTCTTCAACCATATTTGTCACAGCCGAAGCGCCAGAAGGGACTGTGTTTTGTCGGGGGGGGATGGTAAGATGGTAAGGTTCTGAAGCATTGAAAGGATCCCTTTAGGAACCACTGTCTGTGACATGGGATTAACTGTTATTTGCTCCGCACTGACACCACCACATGAAAGGTACCCCTGTGTAGCAGTGAGGGATTTAATAAATACACTTTTCAATTAAAATCACTACATGATTCCTAGCATGCAGCAGGAAAGATGCAGTCTGTTCGCCGGTTTATGATACTTCAGGCTGAGAGTTATGATGATTAACTAAAGAGTTTCATTCATTCATTTTCATTCTCCTCCTCCGTTGGTTTTCACAAAACATTTGAATTGTTAGGGATTCTTTACATCGTGTTTGTTTAAAAGAAAATATCAGCCAATTTATCGTTAGCTGTCATCAGTATCGTTATCAGCCTCAAATAACTAATACCATTCAGACTTTTACAAAATCAGGGTGTCCGCGGGGTCTTAAAAAGTATTAAAAGTTGATAAATCAATTTAGCGAAAAATAAGGCTATTAAAAACGGCTTTTGCAAGGTATTACACTTTGTAGCTTGTTTTCAATAAGTACATAAATTGTCCGAAGAGGTTGTATTCTACAGTCTGCCTGAATGTAATCATTGCGTAGGTGTGTAGTGTGATTCTGTGTAGTTTATTTATGGCATCCCGTTGGATTGGACGTCATCTGAACAGGACATCGCACGCTCACTGCTTGATAGCGCGCGAAGGTCCGTTTACGCCGGTTGTTAAACAACATCGTTATGGGGAAATGCAAGTTGGCGTCCAAATGGTTGGAAGATAAGGAGGAAGGACAATCAATGCTGTATATAGTCGATGTGAGGTAAAGTGTGTCGCCAAGGTAACCGGTTAAAACTCCAAGTGGCGATGAGGTTTTAAAATGTATGGAAAGGGTCTTAAAAAAGCTCTTAAAAGGTATTACATCTGACTTCAGGATTCCTGCATATACCCTGAAAATGTACATTTACAAAACCAAAGTTTTTATGGCACCCAATCAACCATTGGATCCCTAAACTGCTTCCAACCCAGCTGTGTTTATTGGAGATTTCCATCAATGCACCACCGATGGTAACCAATCTAAAGCTTTGGCAAAGAAGGGAACGGGGCTTGTTATATTATAATAATAATAATAATAAAAATAATAATAATAACTTGAATTTATATAGCGCCTTTCATAACCTCAAGGTCGCTTTACAGAGAAACATACAAGGACAAGACATAAAACATAAAAAAATACATAAACATAGAACAGGGGGCATTATGAGGTCATCAAACAGGACCTTTCAGAAGAAAGAAAACACTTAATCAGGGTGTCCGCGGGGTCTTAAAAAGGTCTTAAAAGGTATTAAATGTAACTTCAGGATTCCTGCATATACCCTGTTAATGCTCCTACTGGAAAGTAGGCCCTCTAAATCCCTCTGATTTACCTTGGGAAAACATCCCAAAAATCCTCTACCAAGACGCCCACTACAAATCATGGCGAGAACAAGGCCGCAGACTTCTTATCACACAAACATATTAAGTAATAAAAAAACGTCCCGCAGCGCTGTAAGGTGGATACAAGAGGATTGCTTTGTGTTTGTTCAAACAACCATGACAAGTGTTTTGCATTTACCTGATAACACTGTTAATAAACGTCTCTCCAGTCAACATCAATCTCTGAAGTTCTCCGCTTGTTTCTCTCTTGTTGTTTTGGCTGAGATTGAAAAGCGGTGCCCTTGAATGTCTGCCAAAGAGAACAAAAAGCAAATTATTTGTTCAGAGAGACTTTTGGGGATTAATTGTTTTTGCTGTTTCACTGAACATACGAATTACTTGAAGCGAAAAATACATTGATTTTTAAGAGACATATTTCATTATCGATTCCTGTTATTTTTCTACTCCTCCCCGATTAATTGTTGGGTGGGAAAAAAAGCGTCTGTCAATAAACAGTCAGTGTGTTGAGTAATCAAGCAGTTAGTATCCCTTTATCATAGAACACGTTTAAAATACTATCCATAGATGTTCCTTGTATCTATTATTGGAGCACAACCACTGCAAACTTGAGTAAGATGAAAGTGCCAGATGTTGTTGCTTGGAGATTTGTGAGTGAACTGCACGGCCCATATCTTTTTTTTATGTTTTTTTGTGTGCTTGTTGCCTTGATCCAAGCAGCTGCACGAACTCACATAAGCGATTATAGTAGATCTTTTATGTCCCTGAGCCCAGTTTTTCCTGTATATTTGCACTAATATGATAACAAAAAATAAGGTATACAGATGAAGAATGCCAGCAATTCTGTCTGTTTCATCTTTATCTTTCATACTGCAATCTTATTGAGTTGCAAACTGACCGATTTTATGGAAAGCCTGTAATTTGACAAGTTTTCAACCCCCTTTAGTGAGTTAGCTACACAAATACTATAGCCATGATTCCCATTGAAACAAGGACATGCTGTTAAAGGGGCACGCTTATGCTAATTTCCAGGTATACTGTGACGTGTCTCCATGCTTTTAATGTTCAAAAAGTTCTTTATTTGTATCATACTGCCTGTGCTGCAGCACCTCTTTCCACCCTCTGTCTGAAACCAGAGCCCAGTCTGCTCTGATTGGTTAGCTGGCAGGCTGTGTTGTGATTGGTCAACCGCTTAGAGATGTCCTGCCCCTTAGCCTCTAACNAGTAACCTTCTAACCTTACAAGTGTGTTTGGGCGGGTAGCAATGAACGCGCTCGGGTTGCGACGTTTTACGGCTATACGTTGTCAGGAAATTGTGATTGTCGCTATGTTGCGGAATGCTCGTGGGAGCTAAACCAAGGGACGTCCAATGGAGGTGTTTCAGGCAGGGGGCGGGGGGGTGTGAGTGTGTGGGAGAGAAACTCTGGGATATAAGCATTTGCAAAAGATTTACATGCACAAAAACCTATATAACACACTAAAGGAAAGAGAAAACCCAAACAGCATTAAAGGGCCTCACTGCAGTGGGATAAAATCCACAGCTATATTGTTCCTTTGTTTTGTTCCCACTCTACAGTAAGTCTGCACGTTTGAAAGAAAGAATGAAAGCCAGATATATCAAGATATGTGCAGGGACTGACTTAAAAAGTAAATGCCTACTTAAGAGACCTTTTCAGTAAAGAGGTAATGAATGCATTTCCTGGCCAAAGCTTCCAGGCGCTTGTGCTTTTGATAGAGATTGAACAACTGCAAATGTCAAACCTAAACGTGTTACTTTCCAGTCGCTCTTTGTGAATGTACATATTTTTAGAGGCGGCATTTTCTACAACTTGTTGCCCTTTTCCCCACAGCTGTCTCCACACATACGGAGGGGGAGGAAAAGATCCAAGTCCTGCTGATGGTGGAGGGAAGAAGGTATGCAAAGCTTTGACGAACAAAGGGAGTGCTAATTGGAACTTGTGATACACGGACAGGATGCATAATGCAAGTCTGTACACTTTGATTTTGTAGCCTTGTTAGTCCGAATGCACTTTACCTACTGAAACCTTATCTAATTTAATTTAAAGTCTCACTACAGTGCCTGTTGTAGGTACAGAGGAGGTGAGACATCACGTAACACAAGCCAACCGTTTCCTTTTTAGAGTAATCCAACACATTTACTGCGTTAATTGCTTTTTGTTTGTGTGTTTTTGGATGAAACCTCTTGGGAAACCCGTGCTTGTTTATCAATGCGTCTACTGTAGAAGCACTTTCCTTTGGTTGTTTAATAAAGGACTGATCCATTTTAGATTTAAATAAAATAAAAGATGAATGTGCAAGAAGAAATACAATAAAATGGAATAAAGATATTTTTTATAAACATGAGAAGCTTAAGTAAAATGTAAAAAAAAAAAATGATAAGCATATATATGCTGTTAAAGCACATTTCCATAATAAATACAATTACATTTTATATAAATATTTATGTGAACATAAGACGTTAAAGTAAAAATCTCCAATAAAAGCTGAAATAAATGAAATATTTGTATATGCCTGAGAAGTTACAGTAAAATGTGAAAGTCTTCCTACAATACATCATTAATAATACGTGATACATATATTACAATATATACAGTGGTATACTAGTTACAAATGCTGAACACCACCGTTTATAACGTGGTATAACTTATTTCTCCCTCTCTTTTTTTAACAGAACAGTTTACATCCATGGCTTCAACAGGATGGACTTTGCTCTGTGGCTCTCGGCCATCACTCTGGCTGCCGGCACTGATGGAAAGGGGCTGAGCGACCAACAGCTGACCAAAAACGGCGTCCCCATTATTGTCGACAGTTGCATTGCTTTTGTCACCCAATATGGCGAGTGGCATTATACTCACAGAGAGAAAAGTTTAAAAAAAGGATCTTTTTTTGTGACTTTTATTGTGTTTTCTCCTTGGAGGCTGATTCATCCAGTGTGCTGGGTCGTGATGAGAATTTCCTGCTTTCTAATATTGTGACATCTCTCTTTTAAGCATATTTTTTTCTTTTGGAAATGTAGAAAATATGGTCCAACTTCTCACTACACAAAATCTATTCCATGATAAATGCAAAAGCACACTTATATTGTTGCATTATACAGTAAGTGCTATGAATGTAATGAGGCATTGGCATAAAAGTCAACTCCGTCTGAAATTGTAAAGTGGTACAGAAGGTTAACATACCGCACAGCGCCAGTTTCTTTCTGCCTGCAATTTAGATTCAAATGTGCTTATGCAACGTTATTAAATTCCACTACTTAGCATCTGCTAGTCTGGTTATTGCCTTATAATTGCATTTATTTATGCAGAAAGACTGCATGTTCTGCCATTTGCAGAAGACAGTGATTATATGGTGAACGTTATGAGCCAATCGTCCATTTATTCTCACTTTTTGTGTCACTTTGTAACCAGGTTTGTGCCAGGAGGGGGTCTACCAGAGGCCGGGGGACCCTGACCGCGTGGCCCTGCTCCTGGAGGAGTTCACCCGGGACGCCCGTAATGTGAAGCTGAGGGAGAAGGAGCACCAGCTGGAGGACGTGACGGACACCCTGAAGAGCTTCTTATCCCAGGCTGAGGACGCACTGCTGACCAAAGAGCTGTATCCATACTGGGTGTCAGCGCTGGGTATGAGGGCCGTTTCTAGGGGTGGGGACACACGTTTGAAGGAGTCGCGTGAAGAGCAGAAATCCATTTGACCAATCAGAATCGTGGATTCACCTGCGCCGTGTAATATCTGTACATACTTGACATTCTGTGACAGTAGTTCTCTTCTGTGTCTGTTTTGTAGATGAGAAGGTGGAGAAGCAGAGAGTAAAGAAGTACTCCACTTTCATTGAGAGTTTGCCAAAGATAAACAGGTCAACCCTTGAGGCCTTGCTACAACATCTGTACAGGTACACACGCTCACACGCTCACACGCACACACACACACACACACACACACACACACACACACACACACACACACACACACACACACAAGCTTCAAACTGCATGAATATAAATATATCAATAATTAGATAGTATATAGAATGAAGTACAAACCAAGTCAATAAATAAAAAGGTTAAATAGATCTTGCACAAAACATGAATAAACCCGTCTTGTGCTATGTGTCTGTTGTGTGAATGTGATCCTGTATGTAGCATTGCGGCAACTGGAAACTTACTAGTACATGTTAAAAGGACACAAAGAGAGAACTTAGCTACTTTTGCTAAATCATCCATTATGGCATTAAAATAGTAACAAAATAGTTAAAGTAGCTCTTGTCTTCTCCATGTGTTTGATTGCACTGGAGGCAGGTTAGCGGGTGTATCTCTACAGATGCCTTCCTGCATCACAGCAAACTGTAACAAGTGCAGGGACTCAAAGGTCCTGCACTGTGAGCAGCCCCTGGCTTGCTGTTAGTCACCTGCTGATTAGCCTGTTGTCCCTCCTGCTCCGCTAATGACCCGCTCTCCCCTCTGCTGTGTGTTTGCCTTCTGACCAATCAAGTCTCATACTTTATAGTCAGATCTCTGATTTAGTCTTGGAGGCTGCCGGTATGGCCTTCAAATGACAAGTTGTAAAGGAAAATGTAATGTGAATATCCCAGTGCGACTTGAGTATACAACGAAGTACCAACAAAGGTTTAAGAGGTTTGTTGATATATTGTCCGAGGAAAGTTTGAAATAAACAGAAGACAGTTTTACAGATAGGAAAATACAGATATCCAATTAGGATTCACTATGGAGAGATTCTGCAATGCCAGGGTGGTTCACTGCAGGGTCACAACATTCAGAGTGAAGAGTTTATACACATGTGGTAAGAAGAGAGTACATTTGATATATTTCTATAACCGAAAAAACTTTTTGTCACTACAGCAACAAACCAATTCCTGGTTATTTATAACATTTATTGCCATTTTCCAGTTTGACAGGCTCATTATTAAACAAGGTTCAAGGTTCTTTTTAGTCATACGAACATAGCTACAGAGTAGTTATGCCGATGACATTCTTAGGTCACAGGCTTCTCCAACAGTGCAACACAATAACACATATAAACAGAAAAATATAGTGCAAGTAAATAGTAATACAAAAGAAAAATAGTTTAAAAAAGTGAAATAGTGCAATAATAGTCTATATGCAAGTTATTGAAATGATATATTAGATACATAGATAAATAATTACTAAGTAGCAGATCAATGTTATGGATGTTATTGCCTGTGGGATGAAACTGTCCCTGGGTCTGGTGGTTTTAGTCCGGATGCTGCGGTAGCGCCTGCCAGACGGCAGCAGACAGAACAGTTTGTGTCTGGGGTGAGGGGGGTCTTCCTGAGCCTCTGGGAGTAAAGGTCCTCCATGGATGGCAGCTCCGTCCTGGTGATGTTCTGTGCAGTTTAACCCCCCCTCTGTAAAGCCTTACGGTTGAGGGCGGTGCAGCTGCCGTACCAGGCCGTGATGCAGCCAGTCAGGATACTCTCTGTGGTGCACCTGTAGAAGGTTAGGATGCTCTCTATGGTGCACCTGTAGAAGGTCAGGATACTCTCTATGGTGCACCTGTAGAAGTTGCAGAGTATTCTGGAGTCCATGTTGAACCTCCTCAGCCTGCGGAGGAAGAAGAGCCGCTGTCGAGCTGTTTTGGTGATGTGTGAAGAGTCCATGTCAGGTCCTAAGGGATGTGGACACCAAGGAACCTGAAGCTGCTGACTATCTACCGTAGTCCCATTGATGGCGATGGGGGCGTGTCCCTCTCCCTGCTGCTTCCTGTAATCCACAATCAGCTCCTTGGTTTTGCTGACGTTGAGATGGAGGTTGTTATCCTGGCACCAAGATGTCAGGTTTTCAACCTCCTCTCTGTACGCCGTCTCGTCGCCGTCTGTGATCTGGCCGATGTNACCGTTTATTAAGACTCTTCTCTCACTTGGTAAAATACTACTACATCCTGTCCTTCTCCGAAAGTCTTACACTCCTAGAGTAAAGACTCTTAATCTCAGACCTGTCACTGAAACTTCTTCCCTACTCTACTCGTAGTCGATCAAATGTTTTTTCTGCTCGGTGTCCTGGCGGCAGTCACCCGTTTTTTTGCTCATCGTGAAATTAATGTAATTACACTAGATTGTTACCATTTTCCGTTTATAAATTGGTATACGACAAATATAACAACATTAACTCTACTTAATTTGTAGACAACTCATAAAATTTATTTTATTCAACTAACACAACTTAACTTCGCGGGTTTCCAGTCGCCCAGGTGGTCTGGGTGACTTGTGACCGACTCATTGTTTTTATACTGTGGTGGGTGGTTCCCATTTTCCAAGGAGATATAATATGAGAAAAAGTAGTTATAAAATATCCAGAAGTCTATATAGTTTTGTACAGAGACTTCACAAACCGAGGTTTATGGTATTGTACTTATAAACGTAACAGCGTGACGGTGATTTGGGAGTCAAACTCGGGAACACTCCTAGACGTATGAAGGAGGAAAAAAGGGACAGACACCAAACAAAACAGACACACAGACACAGGGGACCAGGTGTAAGTAGGGCGGTTGAGTGGAGGAGTCGACAAGTGTCTACGGTAGAGGTAGAGAAGACGTGGACAAATATATGAGGCCGGGTGGGTCCTAGGCGGTAAGCAGGATCCTTTAGTACGAAGATACCGAGTGATCCAGGATCACCTGACTAGAGGGAGAAAACACTTTCTATAGTTTGAGACAAGCGACAGGGCTTTACGAGACACAGAGAAGAAGTACCGGAGAGGGCTAGTCGAGGAGACGACAGAGAGGGACCTATATAGGAACAGTCACAGAGCACCTGTTTTATTTGAATAATGTGAGGTGACGGCTCACACACGACAGCAAGAGGTCGTAAGGAGCCCTTGGATATAGGCCAAGATAAAAGTTTACACGACGACTGTGTTGGTTTGTTCATAACTGTAGTATTTCACCCGGTTTTAGCCTAGTCGAAAAAAGTCTGTTCAAAAACATATTTACCAAGTCCTTTTTTTGCACCTCTAAAAAAAAAAAGAGACTTTGCAGTCTTAGAGAATTGCGCTGTGTAAGCAGAGATTCTTTTGGCCATCTTGATCAGTTGTGATAAGGACCCAAAATGGCAAAGCTTTATTTATTGTGTCTTGCCCCAAATTTGCAGCTTGGATAGAGTGTGAACAAAATAAAGATTGGTTCCCGCAAAACATAATGCGGGAATGTGAGAGCAGACAGGTGTCGTGCTTGAATTGATCAACAATGTTGCAACCTTGTGCGGGAATGGCAGGGGCAGAAAAACACAAAAGTCACACACACACACACACACACACACACACAAACACAGACACGGCCCAGACAGGTGCACAGGACCTACAATTTCCACACCTTTGTTAGCCCTGAACACCCTGTATGCAATGTAAATGTGTAGGGGGGGGTACAGTGGGCGGTCATTGAAAATGTGTTCTAATATATGTTCTTCACAGAAAATGAGCCAAGGCCATTGAGTGTGGGTTAGAAAAAATTATTTATCACATAATTTTTCTTGAGCTAAATAATGAAAACGGGTCCCACAGAGCCGAATACCATACAAGGGTTAAGGGAACCTCAGAGAGGCTAGACAGGGGAAGTGAAGGAGAGGCAGATACCTGATATGAGATTGGGTCGAACTCCCTTCTTGAGATGCTCATCATGCCTGTTTGAATAATGACAGGGAGAAACATTGCCTTGCAATCAGACCATAAACCTTTATCGCTCTCAAGCTTTGACATAAAAAAACCTCAGAGTAAACAGTCCCCACATAACCGATATAACCAAAGCTCTGTATTTACGACGCTGTTGGAGCTGTATGTCTTATAAATTGATCACCATCAGATTGTCAGAAAAATCAATCTTAATCTGAGAACATGCTCATTGGTCCATTTTATGAGGGTCTGGACCCAACCCCAGTTGGAGCTATTGCCCACTGAGCTATGGAGCATATCACAGTAAAGAAAATAAAAAACCAACATTACCACTCAAGGGCAGCATTACTGCATCCACTGCAGGCTTGTGTCCAACTGGTCACTTTTTGACTCTGAGAAATGAAACACACCCTTTTATCCAATGTTACATCAAACAAGAAGGAAACCATGATACCATATTAAAGAAGAATGGATATCCCATCATAGAAAGAGACAGCTGTATCATTTACCATCACTGGCTCTTTGAAGTGATAATTGCATGGCAGAAGAAAGGCTCCTTGAGGGATTTTTTTTTTACTCAGCGCCCTGGTCACACTTCTTGTTCTGATAGAAAACCCCAGAAGACCAGGAAAACAAACTGGAATTGGAGGCACATGGTGATTTAAATTGTATATGTTTTGCATCTGAAAATTAAAAATGAATGTCGCGGTCCCAGATGTAAAATTTCAGACACTGGATCTTTAGCATCATCATTGCTTCAGGTTACATCTGTACAAAGATATGCTCCAAGATGAACCTAATAACACAGTTGTGTATTCAATTGACGTATGTTACCTCTGGGACATGCTGAAGTTGCAGTCAACTTTCTGTTGTTCTGAGATGTCAGTCTTTAGATAATTGCAGAGGACAAAAGTGGGCAAGAATGCATATTAGCTTCCAGACTTCTCCATCTTCTATCCAACAGTCCCAGCAGCTGGTTGTCCTTGAGTATAGATACCTCCTGGAATCTTCAACACAATCTGCTGAAAAGATGAGGTTCATTTATCTTTTTAAGTGTGAAAAACATTCTGAAATGTTTTGCCGTTCGCAAAAAAAGCAACCTTCCCCCAAAACAAACTTGCCTGCAACATTTCCTAACCAATTAAGGACGTAATTAATGAAACCTAGCACCTGTAGTGCCAGAGCAATCACCAGAGAGGGGACAGTGAAAAATGTAGCAATCAAATTAATCAAGCAAAAGGCACAGGCC